TCCTATTGAAATCATTAACGTTTGCTTCTTGTTAAATCGATTTTTTAATCTCAACAAACCGACATTGAAAAAAATTGAGATAATCAAGAAAGAAAGAAAGAAAGAACCAGGGTTATGTTGCTTTTTGCAGTCCCAAAAATAGAGAAATAAGAAACCGAAAAAAACGAAGTTTCCCTTCTTTCCCTTCTCCACATTCACACCCTTTTGACTAGGCATGTGTTGTTTGTGTTTGTATAAAGCCAGGGCAATTTCGTTTTTTTCAGTTTCTTATTTCTCCATTTTTGGGACTGCAAAAAGCCAACACAACCCTGATTGTTTCTTTCTTTCTTGATTATCTCCATTTTTTTTCAATGTCGGTTTGTTGAGATTTAGAAAACGATTTAACAATAAGCAAATGTTAAGGATTTCAATAGGATCTAGCTGACTAGAGAAGGTTTTAATAAATCTTATGCTTAAAGAGTATCATACCATTAAATTTCTAACAAAAAAAAGATATATACACTAAAGTCCTAATACTTTCAACGATTTGACAAGAAAGTCCTAAACTTTATTTTTTTGACAATAAAGTCCTAACTGACGATTTGACAAGAAAATCCTAAACTTTATTTTTTTGACAAAAAAGTCCTAACTACCGGCTAACCGGGAAAAAAGGGTAAAAGTGTCAAATAAAATGCCGGTAATTTGGACTTTACTGCCAAAAAAATAAAATTTAGGACTTTCTTGTCAAATCGATGAAAATATTGGGACTTTAGTGTATATATCCCTAAATACAAAAGATATAATAAATAAAGTAAGTAATTTAATATATAATGCTGAAGATTTGAAAGGTTATAAAGCATTTATTATGAAATTTAATAGAATAATCTACCTTACATATATAAATTTCACCAAAATATGGATTTTAGATTGCAGAAAATAAAAAAATCACAAGAAAATGACAAGTGGAAAAAAAAATATAGAAACTCTTAAAAACTGACATGTGTCAAATTCAATGTGAACATGACATTTGGCAAAATTGATTTTCTTTTATTAGGTTAGACTAGGTGTGAGACTCATGTATTACATGAGTTTATCTTAAAAAAAAACTAAATATAAAATTCTAAACATTTGAAAAGTATGAATTTATAAGAAAAATGAGAAAATATTGAATTATAAAAATTAAAGTGTTTTTTTTCTCTTTTAAATTTAAACAAATAATTTAGATAAATAAATAAAGAAAATAATGAATCTTTAATTTGGTAATTTTGAAATTAGAAGGAAAGTTCATTAATGAAATTGATATCATTTATTATTAATATAGATACTATCTACAATTTAATAAAATGAAAAAACCGTAAAATGACATGTGTAATAAACATTAATTTAAAATAACCACAAAATTACATGTGGCAAAATAAATGAGAATGTTATATGTGGCAAAAAGATATTTATTTATTAGGGAGGATTGATCAAATTACATCGTAAATGCTAGAGTTAAATCATATCAAGCACTCACAAAAAAGGCAACGAACTACATAATAACCTAAGTTCGGTGATCTATTTATGCACCCATATTACAAAACATACACTTTTATTTTAGTTTTTAATATTTAGTACATACATTTTCTAATTACTTATTATACACTCTCCATTTAAGATTTTTTTTGTCAAATCAAAAGAGTGTACACTAAATAAAGAGAAAGAGGTGTAACGTTAAAAGATGTCATGCTTTTTTTTACCAATGGTAAAATGGCGCTACATAGGCGCCACATAGACTTTTATAATTTTCACATTTTTACTTATGAAGTGTGGTGTCGTGCCTATGAGTTTTTTTTTTTAATTTCATTTTAGAAAAATATTAATTCTTTTAAAACCATACTAAAATTTAAAATAACATAAACTTAAAAATTAAAATTTAAAAATCCTAAAAATTAAAAAAAAACATGAAAAATTAAAATTACATTGAAAACCTAAAAAATAAAAATAAAACAAGACGTTAAAATTTAAAAACCTAGAAAAAAACAGAACATCAAATTTTCAGTAGCTATTCAGATTATATTTTTCCCGAATTGATGCTTTCATAATTCTTGCCGCTTCTTGATAATCAGGGTCGAGGTGCCTCACGTTTTGCATTAACAACGTATACTCAGTGAGTCGGACGGTTTCATCCATATGTCTATCCAAAGTTGAATTCAGTTGTGTCATTTGTGTCATCATTTATTCCGATCTGACTGACTGCTCGGTTCCGACTGAAGAATTTGAAGAAGTCTCTTTCCCTTTTCCTTTTGCTCGAGCTTTTGTTTTGTCCCTTCCCATCGGACGAGGAGGCGGGCGTATTTATTCAATGTCGTCATTATCATCATTAAGATTAACGCCTACGTGACCATCCGATGAGACTTGTTGCGAGCTCGAATATGAAGATGTCCGGCTTCTTTTTGGCGGATTTGCAATTTCTTCATGTGTTGCAAGTTCCCTCCACCTAATGCTTCTTTTGACAACTTCCCACACATTAATAAACTTAAAAGACTTTTGCATATCATCTTGGAATGTAGCGTGTGTTTTTTTCAACAAACTCGCATCACTTTCTCTGCTAGCCCAATGCTTCTCAAAGTTTGTGTAAATTCCATTACAATGTGTGACGAATTTGTTCATAAGATTCCATTTGGAGTTACATTGGTCGGAGGTCCGATAATCTGGATTTCGACCCATTCCCCTACAAAAGCGCTTAGTTATATGTAACCAAAATTGATCACGAGTTTGACCCTTTCCCGTGCCACCATCTTCAGATATGTCGAACCATTCCCTTGCTAACTCAACTTCTTCTTTTTGTATCCATCTTCTCGGATCAACCTTCCCTTTCTTTTGTTGTTGAGGTTGTTGTTGTTGTTCTTCGTGTTCTACGTGTTCGGTTGAAGGTGTGAATGGCGGTTGGGATGGAAATTGGGTTTGAGATAGTTGGGTATGAGGTTGATATTGGAAATGGAATTGTTGGGGTATTTGGAATTGTGAATAATATCTAGGAACACCATCTATTTGTGACCGGTAAGGTGGTGGTGATGATGGATCGTAGCCGAAAAGTACGTAGGCGTTGTTAACATTTTGGTTTGGAGCATTTTGTTTGGAAGAATACATTTTCAAAAAAAAATTGTTGTTGAGAGTGTATAGTGTGGTGATTTTTTGGAAATTTGATTTGTATACATAGTAGATTAAAAAAAAAAATGAAATGTGCCAAACTAGCCGTTGTTGACCGTTTGGAAACGTTCCATTCTTAAAATCCCCACAAAAATCACACATTTTCCATCGGTAAAGGACCACTGGCGGTGCTTCACCGGCGTTGAAATCCCCTTCACGGCGCGGTGTTCACCGGCGGTGAAAAGGGGACATGTCGGACACCGCCGATGTCCCCTTTATGATACCGTTTAGCCTAAGAAAAATATTATCTATCATGATACTTCTTTTACTAAAAGAAAAAACAATCAAAATGTCATAAATGGAAAGCAGATGTATACAAAATTTGATTTAATATATATATATATATATATATATATATATATATAATATATATATATAATGTCGATTAAAAGCTTTTTATCCAACGTAGGAATGTTATTCGGGTCGGAACCGGACCGAACCGACCCGAACCCGAATAACCCAAAAATCGAATAAGGATAATTGCATGAACTGAAAACCGAACCGATTAACCAATACGGGTTCGGTTTGGTTCGGTTCGGTTATTACCAGAATAACCCGAATAACATGTATAAGATGATTAGGGACCTAATATAACCAAAACAAACCGAATAAACTGTATTAGGATTCTATAACTCGAATAACCCGAATAATAGAATAGCAATGTACTTTTATACATCAACATAAAACGTTTAAAGACTAACATAACACAATAACACATTGAAAGAATAGCATTTACATAGTAGATTAAAGTAATGAGAATTAATTGCTTACTTGATTTTCTTGAGTTGGAGCCCAATTTTCCATGACTAGAAAAATTAGGAATTCGTGAATCCTTAGAGGTAATAGGAAAGGTCGATTTTTGAAAGTATGAAACAAGAAGAAGGATCCACAGAACTGATTTTGAGTTTGGAAATAGTTGAGAAGATTGGTCGATTTCGAAATGACGATATGAATGACGAGGACAAAAGTGTGAATTGTGATTTTGATTTCTGTCGATCAGAGAAAAGGGATGAGGAATGCTTATTCGGGTCGGGTATTTAGAACCAAATAAGCTCTTATTCGGGTAACCCGAACCAAATAACCCAAAAATCGAATAAGCATAATATAGATACCCGAAACCCGAATCGAATTGCTTATTCGAGCCTAATTTGGTTCGATTCGGTTCGGGTTTCGGTTTGGTTCAGGTTTTCGGGCCAAATTCTCATCCCTAGTTAGCAGCAGCTATGAAAACTTTGTTGTTGACTGAAGCATTAGTAGTATGTATCACATAATAGCCGACGGTTTGACCTTCAGGTTGTGAAAGAGAGAAAATAGCAACATACTTTGTATTAAGATTGGCACAAATTTATCAAATTATGTAAATAAATAAATAAATAAATAACTTGCAGTGCAGCCCATAAGAGGATAGAGTAGTTGTTGTAAAATAAGAAATTGTTGAATATGTATGACATAGAACTTGGAAATAAAATCTGTTTTGTATTTACAGATTAACCATGAAAGTAGGATGCTATGATAAAAATAGTAATAGGAGTATGCTTCTATTTCTTGCATTTTATCCTATTTCAACAAATGAACATGATTTCAATTTTTTTTTCTTATTAGATTATTGTCTGTGACATTTTGATTCCAGTCATATAATGTTTTGTGCATGTAACAACCAGATTATCCTGAAAGCGAGAAATCCATGTAATAAAAATAGGTTTACAAAGAACTCAACAATGTATGACAGTCAATCCATCTTATAATTAGATGACAAAATCATAATGTTGTCCAGAAAGTAATATGAATATTTCAGAAATAGTAAAAAATGAAAATTTATTAATTTCAGGATGTAAAAATTACATTGGTGTTCGAGAGATTTTTAAGAAAGTCAAATACCATTTTGTTCATCGTGTTAAATTCCAAAAAATAGTATAGACTTCAGAAACAATTGAAAAATGTGAATTTTCGCAAAGTACAATGTTATTTAAGAGATTTTCAACAAAGTACAATGCCATTTATGATGTTATTTTCCAGAAAATACCATCATTATTCAGAAACGGTGAGAAAAATCAAAAAATGTAATGTTATTTAAGAGATTTTTTTGGAAAGTCAAATGCTATTTATGATGTTAAATTATTTCAGAGGTTTTTAGTGAAGCACTTCACTTATAGTCAGTAGATGATGGTGGTGGAGGGGCTTCTTTGAATCCGTCTTCTTCTCCAAGCTCTCTTTGATCCCTGGTAACAAACCATTGCTAATTCTGTCTTTTGCTAAAGATTCCTGCAATTGACATCAATATAAACCCCCCCCCCCCCCATTAACTTATTTTTAGAAGAAAACCAAAAAACAAATTATAATTAAAAGTGGATGATAATTTATATGAACGCATAGTAGTACTCATAGTGAAAATTAAGTACCTCTTTGTTCTAGTTGGTTCTATAGAAAATCTAAACCAAGATTGAAATTTGTATCACAGTTCCAGTCAGCATGCCTATGCATACACCCATATTAGAAACATAATTTTGGTCATAACACAAGAAAAAAATGCCCTTTTTAATTATAAATCAAATACATAGAACATACCATGATTCGAAAATTAAATCATAAATTAACAATTACAGGTTTTTAATGACAAAGAGCCTACCTTATTTTCACTTATCCTTGAAAACAGAGAAATCAAAAGAGCAATCACTGAATTTGAGAAGTAACAAATCAAAAATCAACAGCCTGTTACAAATGTTTTTGTCATTCATCAATAATGATTTTGTCATTCATCAATAATGATAAAAAACGATTTATAACGTTTATCTCTCCATCGTTCTTCAATAATGATAAAAAACAATTTATAACTTTTCCCTCTCAATAAAAACCAAGACAAACATAGATTCCATAAGAAAATATCCCTTAAAAGAATGTGTAACTTCTATAAGAAACAATCTGCATAGAATGTATTTACACAAACATGACATAAATGTCATGAAACATGGATACTGTGTAACATCATGTTTCTTATCATTTCTTATTTCAGGGTCGTAGGCCAAAAATCGATTGTGTAAAGGATTTGGGCCTTAAGGAGGTAATTTTTAGACCTTTTTGGGGGTGATAGTGATGGTTGTAAGATCTAACCCTTGAATTTTGTATTGCGGCGAAGGGTAAAATGGGAAAAAAAGTCATAGACTGGGTTTCTTGTATGAAATACAGATTTTAGTTCTAGAAGTTTTTAGTCCAAAATAACTAGATTAGATTGTGGGGCTCTTCAACATCTTTCCATGCATATAAAGAATGCTAAAATCATAGTTGAATCGAGGAAGTTATGATAATTTGAAATTTGTGTTGAATATGGAAGAATGGTAATATGTTGGGTGTACCCTAGGTACGTTGGGCGTACTAGCATCTTAAAAACGCACCTTCATTGGCGTACGTTGGGTGTACCATTTGGTACTCTAGGCGTGCGAGACCAGAACCGAAACCCTAAATCTTGGGGTTTGAGCCTTATTTAAGCACTTAACTCTTCCAAACCTCTTCCATTCTCAACCTCCTTCTCTCCAACATCCTCCCTTGAAACCCTAACCCTAGTTTGAGCATTGTGAGCCAAAAATTATGCTTTTGGGTGCCTTTAAAAGAAGAAGAAGGTGGTAGTAGTGATTGGAAGCTTGAAAAAAATTCAGATCTAGAAGTTCTCTTCCCTCAATCATCTCCAGAAAGTATAAAGTTTGTACCTTTATATATCTCCATTGATAGATCTAACTTAGATGTTAAAGTTATGTCTATTTTGTCCCACAAATTGGTCCGTTAGAGTGTGAGTTGTTCCACAGCTTCTGAGGTGTACTTGAGGGTGTACAATCCAAAACTCATAGTTAGATTAATACCTCTTGATGTAGTTGTAGTTCTTGCCCTTAGAAAGCTTTAGCACCTCAAGTATGATGCCTCTAATGTGTCACAAACACCAAATGCAAGAGGAGACTTGAGAGAATAAGCTAGTTAGCACAAAATCAATATCACTCTCTTAGAATGAATGGTGTCACCGGTTTTGGCTCTAGGGGGTTCCTTTTATAGTGTTGCAAAGGCTAGGGTTTCATCCTTGAAAACCCTAATGCACCATGACCTTTCATATTACTTAGGATCCATGGGTTAAACCTCCATGGACTATCCATGGACTATCACATTGGTTTAGCCCATCCTAATTAACCATGGATCATTGGCCCACACTATAAGAATCATTGATTTACTTAATCAGTCACCGTATATTTAATTAGTCTCTTTTGATCACTAAATTAATTCGAAATTAATTCTTGATCAATACTAATTAAATAATATGATTTCTCAATAATTATATTATACTTATAATTATATTAATAAATCACAAATAGCCTTATTCTCAAAAGTCCATCCTATCAAATTGCACTGGTGAAGGCAACCCAAAAGGACCATGCTACTATCGGGTCAAGTACATCCCAGTTATAGTTATGGGCTTAGACACCTAATCCATCAGTCTCCCACTTAGATAAGTCTAATAACTATAACTTCCAATGTAACTTCAGGATCCGATTAGCAATCGTAGCTTTCCAAAGCCGCTGTCGAACTCTGACCCAGTCAATGACGCGTCCTTCAGATAAGGGATCATATATTTCTCTGTTCTAAAGATATCATGCGGACAAATACATGGAACATAGTCATACTTATTGTCCTGCAGTTTGTTTCCTGATTTCCGATTTGTCTGACATAGAACATAACTGAACACATCAATTTAGTTCTGACCGGGCCCGACAAATAAGTCAAAACAAAATCATCGAGGGGCCCAAGATATCACTTTTAATCCTCTTAGGATAAAAGGAACATATAAACTTCGACATTATATGCTTGTACTAACTACTCATCAAATCAGGCACAACGATACGTTTTATAACATCAAGTTACTGATGCGTTTTCGTATCATCAATGCACAACCAACTCATAGT